GATGTCTTGAAGACTAAGAGTATTGAAATTTACATTGTGTTGTGATTTTATTTTTTCCAGGCATAGCGGCAATGTTTGTGTCCTTCCTGGTGGGTTTGTATTACAATACCATTATTGCCTGGGTAATGTGGTATTTCTTCAACTCCTTCCAAGAGCCCCTGCCTTGGAGTAGCTGTCCTCTCAATGACAACAGAACAGGTATATTTTATGAAATATTGTATTTTGTTGTGCAGCACATTTTTCTGTTTCTAGCAATTAGCCTAATTGCGTCTCTTTCTGTAAAACAACAATAAGGCATGGCAGTCCTGGAGTCCAGCAGCATTGTGCTATTTTAATACTTGTGTTTTGTAAAAATTCACGTTATATAAAATGTGATCAATGCTTAATCTTTGAGACAAACTTTGACTTTTTATATGAAACTTCAGGGTTGATTTTGACAGATGTGTTCACATACAGAATATTCACAAAGTGCAAGTCTAGCATAAACATTAACATTTTCCAGAGTTAGATGATGTATTTCATCCATCTCTTCAGCAACAGCCCTCCGTTAGCATCTTGAAAAGGAAACAAAAAAAAAAAAAAAAAAAGAGATGCATAATCCATATGAAACTCCTGTGTCTCTCCATATGGCAACAGTCTATAGCTCCTTGCAGACTGCTTGGTGACAGCAGCTTTGTTTTCCATAGTCAGCCCTGCATGAAACTGTATGAAGCAGGTTTATCTGGTGGGTCAGTGAACAGCTCTTCAGAGAGCTTTGCTCCTCTCCTCCCAGAATAAAGTGCCTCATATAAGGACAGGCCAGGTCAGAATACTGCACAGGTCAGCACATTGCAGGGAGCTGAAAATCCAGCCTGAGCTGACAAGACCTTGAAAGATGCCCCACAAAACAGAAAGACAAAGTATTGCTGATCTGAAGGAGTCGTGGGAGGGGAAGAGCCGCCTGGCCCAGGAAGCTGTGGCAAGGTGCCCACACTCCATCGGACAAGAAAGAGCAGGATGCATGTGGAAAGCCCGAAGATGTCTGTTTTTTTTAAGATGAGGTAGGAAGTGTACAATCGTTGAAAGACATCTGCCTAACTGCTTTTCTTCTACTGAAAAAAAATATTCCATGCAATATACATACATTTATGCTCAGAAATCCTCTCCACGTTTTCTTTGGCACAAGAGGCTTCTAACCTCAGATTTTTGTAGGAAAAAAGAAAAAGATAGAAGAGTCTTTGAGTGAGCTTCAAAGATTTTATCTGCATGGTGGAATTGATAGAAATAACAATAAAATCTGTATTAAAATTCCTGTTAAACAATTCTCTTTTAAATCTCTCATTTTTCCATGAAACCAGCCTCTAAGAACTTGAAATCTACCAACAACAAATTCGTTGGCATTAGGTGGTATAATTTAGAACACTGGTGTTTATTATTTAACTTCCTTTTTTTCAAGTAAATAAAAGACATACAGAATTAAAATCATTTTGTGGTTACAGATTACATAGAAGAGTGTGCCAAGAGCTCTCCTGTCGATTATTTCTGGTACAGAGAAACATTAAACATCTCCACTTCCATTGATGATTCAGGCACTTTACAGTGGTGGCTTTTGTTATGTTTAACATGCGCATGGGGTGTACTGTACGTGTGCACAATCAGAGGCATTGAAACAACAGGAAAGGTACTCTATTTTGGTTTTTTATGAGATTCATTATGCTGTTATGATTCCTTATTTAAACAGACTTAATCATACTGTAGAAATTGCCTGTTTCTTGAGTAGAAGCATGTCTAAAACTTCGTGTGTCATCACTGGGGCTGCTTTTTGAAGATGGAAGCTATGAAATGGAATTTGATTTGATTTGATTTATGTGGAGATTTTTGTGAGCAATTCGGCTTCTTTGTCCTTATAAACATTCCTTGTCCTGATAAAACATTCTTTAGGTATTACCACCTTAACATTAATGTTAACCTTTAATGCAGGATCAAGGGACTCTGTCTTTTTGCTATGGCCATTCTCTTCAAAACATACATGTGTAGATTTATTTGGGTTTGTGCTAGTCCTTAATATTATCTCTCTAAAAGAGTGACCAATGTTCTGCTGCCCAGCAAAGCCCTAAGAGCCCATCCTTGCATCGGCAGCATCAACCTGATCTCAGATTATTTTTTATGTAGATTATTTTTTATGCTGCTTTTGAATGATCTGAGTTGAATTTCAACAATGACAATTTGTCTTAAATAGAGTACTATAACTGTAAAAATGTTTATTATCAAAATGTACTGCACATACTCTTTCTTTTGAACATGGTTTTCTGTAGTATGTTAACTGTGACTCGCTTGAAACTTGCCATTATTGTTAGTCACAGTACCTTGTTTATTCCCCTCTTTTCTTCCCTGCAGTGCTATTTTTATTCAAGTGTTCTGTTTTATTTAAGTGTTTTATTTACATGCTTCTTGTGCAGGCCGTGTATGTAACATCAACTCTTCCATACCTTGTGCTTACCATTTTTCTAATCCGTGGCTTGACACTGAAAGGATCAACTAATGGAATTGTGTATCTCTTCACCCCTAATGTAAGTCACTGCATGGTTCATCCCTTAGTGAAACACGACATAGTTCTCTCTGTAATTAACAACCGATTGAAAATTAGTCCCCTCCATTGGTACTTTTCTAACTATCCCTCAGACACCTTTAAAATCTTGATTCTGGGAGGCGAATCCTTTGCATCGGATGTAAAAGATACATATACACACACATTGTCTCTCTCTCTCCCCCACCCCCCATCAAAATCTGTTATAAAAAATGGAAGGATCATCACAGAGCAATGCAATGGGGCTGCCATAAGGGGGCTTGCTTTCTTTTCGTGTATTCTAGTTAAGGACGAGTCTAACTTTAAAGCACAAATCGTCCACTTGGGAGCAGAACCCGTCTAATCAGTATGGCTATACAGACAAAAGACCTAAGAGAATGGCTTAACTATACAACAGTTTTTAAACAAAATTAAAAGGGGTTTCATTTTCCATGAGAAGACCTCTGAATTATCATTATTCATGCTAAATAATAAACACCTTTTCTGGAAACAGGCATGGCAGCTGTCAGCTATGGACAGTAATTTGTTTATCAATTTTCAAAATACTTGTAGAAAACCTACACATAGGTTTTCTTTTTGAAGAAAAAGTAAGTTTGACAAAAGTATTGACCTATTTGTTAACAATCTTCAAAAATGGTGAGTTCTGCATGGTTAATGTTCTTGTTTTAATTATTGTTTTAAATCCCTCATATTCAGTCTAAATAGCAATGTTGCATATGCTTAAAGCTGTATGTCTGATACCTCAGGTTACCGAGCTGGCTAACCCAGTGACGTGGCTGGATGCGGGTGCTCAGGTGTTTTACTCTTTCTCCCTGGCCTTTGGAGGCCTCATTTCATTCTCCAGTTACAATTCTGTTCAGTAAGTAGCCAGGCAAAAGCCAAATTTTATATGAATATTTCATTCTTTCAAATGAAGCATGTCCACTTCTGCCCTATTGTCACACAGTAATTACTTGCAACCGGGACACCATCCCCTCAGCCGTGTAAGGCACATCTCTGGCTGATCCCAGCTCTCCTGAGCCAAGATTTTAGGTCCCAGTGCTGGCTGATTTCATGCAGAAAGACGTGGTGGTGCAGGCTAGAAAGAAGGGGACTGGCTGCTCATCCCACCACCAGCTGATGAGCAGGAGCTTCCTTTGCGGGAGTGCTCAATGCATCGTGTTGCCCTTTGTCTCCACGCTGTCAGAGCTGGGTGACGGTACGCACATGTCAAAGCAATTTACAGACCACAGTTTAAATCTTTAGCTTAGAGATTAGAATATATATCTAGGAGTTTTGAAATTCAAATTCAGTTCCTTCCTTTATATATGCGATGGGGCCAGGGAAGAGATGGAATGCAAACTCCCATCACCCAGGGAATGACCCAGTCAGCAAATTACGGCATGGTGCTATATTCTACACCCACCCTCCAAAAATATTGGAGCAACCACCAGCAACCTCTTGGTGCCTTCCATCCCTTCAGCACTGTCCTCTTGAAAGACAAACTGTGCAGCATTCTCTGAACCTAATATTTTTGACAAATGTCTCTTCATGCATTCAGAAATCTATGTTTCAGTTTTGGCTCAGGTTCAACCACACCACAGCAACATTTCAGTCACTAATGTAATTCCCTGCCACCACTCTTGATTTCAGATGTTTTTCAAAAGTTCATCCAGAACTTTTGGTGCCTGCGAGTCTCAGTGCAAGGTGACAAGCCCCACTTCAGGTCCAAGTCAATGTTCCCACAACCGTGAGGAGCTTGGCTGAGAATGTTCTGCATCTTTCCAAGAGACCCAAAGAAAAGGAGCAGTGTCCTCCTGCTTTTCCAACACAGAGAGCTGTGGCACCAGGCCACGTTCCTTCAGTTCTCAATCATTCACGACTTAAGGAGGCAACTGCAGAAAGTAATGAAATTCCCATGGAGATATAAGAAAAAACCATGCAAATACCATAGTGTTACACTGTGGTGGTGGGCCACCTGCAGTCCATCACCAGCTGGATGAGGTGTGAGTGACTCTGCTCCCAGGTGGCTTGGGAGTATAAACATGTCGGGAGACACCATGAGTTTTCAATGCCATCAGGGATTCACTCATTCATAACCAGGAGGAGCTTGAGCACCTTACTTTCTCTGAAGGGAAGAAATATTTTTATCAAACCTGTCATTGAGAATCTCATGTTACAGTGAAAAAACCGACACGAGAGTACAGCAAGGAATTTCAATTCAATGCCTTCTGCACACTAGAGACCTATTTGCGACACTATAAATGAGGAAAGGTCACAGTGACACAGGTCTTGGCTGGACAGGCTTGTCTTTCCCCTCTTCTTGAAGTGATCAGAAAATTAAATATGACAACATCAAGTTAATCTCAATAGTCCTCTCTTGCCCAAAAGAAATACAATATCTAGAGCTTTACAGCCTTCTCATAAAACCATTAACTAATTTAATATTGATTCTTTATCTTCTCTCTCATATGAAAATCCCTTTCTGGCTCTGCAATTTTTTCATCTTAACACAAATACACTGGCAAGTGCCTGCAGCAGAGAAGTCTCTACAAAGCAGTTTAACTTTCACAATAAAATACCTTGTCTGTCCAGCCATATCAGCAAAACAATTAAACAAAACTGTTCCCAAGTGCTCTTGGCTACTGCAACTTCACCATACCAAAGTGCTATGAAAACTTTTGGTCACTGTTCCCTTCTGACTGTCTGAATTTAAACCCAAATCTTTTACCTTGCAGCAGAACACCCCAGCAGCTAAGATACAGCTTATGCCAATGTACGTCTGCACATATGCATGCCAGGCATGAAAAGGAGGAGACATACTTTTTTGCCTTCATGTTTTACTTTCCATGAGCCAGACATGGAAACAACTCAGGCAGTTATTCCTTATGAATAGGATTATTTGAAGGGGGGGGGGGGAAAGCATAGCTATTAAACTGCTTAAGGCACTAATTTTTAATTCACTAAACCTACCTTTAACAGCTGTACTTGTATATTCTTAGAGAGCATACTGATGTACCTGTGCGTCTGTAGACTACTTTTTTGTTAGTCTTGGTAGCCAGGTTTTGGTATTTATTTTGGGAACGTGTTTGAAATCCATTCTTTTTTTCTCTTTGAATTGCAGCAATAACTGTGAGAAAGATGCCCTGATTATCTCAGTGATCAATGGTTTCACATCCATCTATGCAGCAACTGTCATATACTCCATCATTGGATTCAGAGCCACAGAAAGATACGATGACTGTTTTGACAAGTAAGTCAAAAAAATCCCAAAATATACAGGGGTTTGTTTGGCTGAGGCAGCTTTGTTAGCCTGATGATAATGGATTTATTATTTCTGAACAATTGCAGCTCCTGACCCACATGGTATCAGACCACTCTTTACTTCAAAAAATTTAAATCATGTGGTAGCAGCCCCATAGGGAGTGATAATTATTTGAGCCACCTTATTCCCTAGATAGATGTTGCATAAGCAACTGTATTTTACATAATTCCCTGATGTTTCCAAAAAGTAACAAGAGAGGAAGAAGATATTCCATATTTTAATGTGGGTTTTTGTGACAGTTCTTTCAAATATAACTGCAGTTTATGTAACAATTTCTATTTACATAAAGGTAGATTCAGTTCATGGTACATTATTGCACTAAAACATGATAGAATATCTATAGTTTTAGAGGTAAATGTGAAAAATTAATCATTTAATGGTTACAACAATGGATATGAAACATGTTCTGAAGGAATGTATTTACTTAACTGGATAAGGCAAGTTTCAACAAAACTAGTTCTGTGAAAAATTGGATTTTACATTACATACTTCAAAAACAAACAAACAAAAAAAGGGATACTAGGCTGCTGCTGATATTTCTACTATGGCTGACGTCAAATCCTCAAAGACCTCCTGACATAGTGGCCAAACTATGCAGTTCTGCTTTGGTGATCACTTGCAATGAGCCACTGAAAGCACTGCCCATTTTAAGAAAGCTCCCCACGACCAGGCAGTTCTGGCAGTCCTGGCAGTCCTGCAGAGTCCCGGCCACAGCTGGATCGCAGTGTGTGATCCTCAGGTACTGCTAGTGACTCTGCGTACTACGCTGGGAAATTACCCAAATTAATTCATGAAATTCTTCCCATTTTAATTCGTTAGATGACGCTCTACCAACCACTGGAAAATGGTCTAGAAACTCTGCAAAAAAAAAAAAAACAACACACCAGAATTCACAATAATTGATGCCTGCTGAGCTGATGTATGGCATGAATGTAATATAACCTGGTCCCTGTGTCAGCTCTGTATCTACGTTGCCTCCTGGACAGCTTAAATGCTTAGGTCTCGTCAGAGGTGCCTAATTTTACCAGAGCAATTCAGACTCCCTTCTAACCAGGGCTGCGAGACCCTGTGGGTTCCAGTCAAGTTCTTCCACATCAGCTGTAAAGGTGCATGATACATAACTGCAGACACCTTACACATTCCCAGAAGCTGCCCAGTCTGGGAACTGGTTCCCTGTCTGCAGTGCAAAGATGGGCACCTAACTTCTGCACAGGTCCCTAGAGTGCCCATCCATTTAGCCGTCATCTGTGCCGTGAAAGACAGTATCAGACTCACCTTGGAAGAAGAAAGAAAGAAAGAATTGCACATGCACAAAACTGCTGGACTTCCCAATTTCTAAATCTGATCTTGAGCAACAGAAACATTGCTTCCTTTGTATCTTTATAAAAGACATTGTGCTTTTAATAATTTGCTTGATGATGAAAATGAATCCTGAGGATGCATACAAATAAATAATTTCAAGTTACTTCTATTTCACTTTTTCAGAAATATTCTTACTCTGATGAATGCATTTGATTTGCCAGAAGGAAATGTAACCCAAGATAACTTTGAACAAATGCAGCAGCTATGTAACATGACTAATCCGACGCTTTTTGCAAAACTGAAGTTTGAATCCTGTAATCTGGAAAGTTTCCTGAATGATGTAAGTTTAGCACCCTGACCCATATCGATACCATAAAAATGGTAGGAACGCATAGCAATTTCTTAATTGCCTATTGCTTTTTCTTCTGAGGTTGTTGGGTTTTTATATATTTCCACTGATTTATTGCAATTGGCTTGGAATACTCTTGGACTGAGGAATTACTTTTGTTCACCCCATTTTGCTTTTGAAGAGGTGAATCGTTTAATTCCTCTGGAAAGTATTGGCAATCTGTCAGACTAGTAACTAAAACCACAAGTGTTCCAGGCTGACCTCATGTAGCTGGCAAAATAGGAGCAGGTATTTCTCTGGAACTAGCTGGTTGCAGCCGTGGTGGGACAAGATGACTAGGGAAGAGACTCCCAGAGCGAGGAAGCAGCTGCAGCAAGCCCTGTCCCGATCAGTATGAGTGTGTCACAACACAGAAAGGATGGACCTTGACACTGGGGTGAAAAAAGTTGCAAGAAGAATTAAATGGGTGCACCTTTTTAAGGTGGTGAATTACCGTTGATGATGAAAATAGGTGTCCATAAAATTCCATGAAATAGAATTTGTATTATAATTACAGTAAATATATTGCTGCATTAGGAGGTCTTTGTGGAAACAAAAGCGTAAGTAGTGTGGTAGGGTGTAGCATACACCAAGTCTAGTGAATACCGATGTAAATTTAAGTGCTGCACGATCTTAATGAACCTAATTTTGGAGCTTCTGAAATCTTCCACAGGGAGTTGAAGGAACTGGCCTAGCCTTTATTGTCTTCACTGAAGCTATCACCAAAATGCCTGTCTCACCTTTGTGGTCCATCCTCTTCTTCATCATGCTCTTCTGCTTGGGTTTGTCATCTATGTTTGGAAATATGGAAGGTGTGCTTGTACCTTTACAAGATCTTAAGATTATACCCCCCAAAGTGCCTAAGGAACTTGTTACTGGTAAGTGCTTTTTTAGAGACAAGTGACCTCCCCCCTCCCCAGGGAATAGCTTGTAGGCTGAAAAATGAACCCGCCACCCATCTACTTTCTGATCTGGCATGGTCCTAAGACTCCTAGATAACCTACTGAAGGTTTTCTCACGTCCCTCAATGTGACAGCTCCTGTGAGGTTCCTTCTGAGCCTGTAGACAGCTGCTCTCCCCGTGGCTTGCCCGTCAGCCTGCTCATGATGATTATCACCTCCTCCATTGGGAAGCTGGAGGACCCAAGTCCTTCACCCAGGCAGGATTTCTCTCAGTGCAACTTTGTCCCACCGACTAGAAGGAAGAGGACTTGTTTCTCTCCTCAGCCTTCTCCCGTTTTATTTGCAGCATCTCCCACCTGTGCAATGTTGGGAGAGTTTCGCCGTTTTGCCTCCATAGAAGCAGGATGTCTCAGAGTACCATTAAAAAATAAAGTGGTTACCTTCAGGCTGCAACTGAATTAAAAGTTACTTATAAAGCTTTCTAGCTACAGGGAAAATATCTTACTTTTTTTTTCTTTTGCTTTCTTTGCCTAAATGTGCTGTTGTTTTGTTTTTTTTCCACAGGTCTCATTTGTATGGGGTCTTACTTGATAGCTTTTATTTTTGTGCTGAAGTCTGGTAATTACTGGCTGGCTCTATTTGACAGTTTCGCTGGCTCTATTCCCTTGCTAATAATTGCATTTTTTGAGATGTTTTCAGTCGTCTACATTTATGGAATAGACAGGTATGAAATACAAGTTAATCATTACTAGAAACTAGTGCATAAATCGATTAGTTGTATAGCTGCAACCTTGCTACATCTCAGTGCATAGAATTTCTGTTACAGAAATCACTGAAATTATGCAGCTGTCGTTTAGGGTTGCTTATGTGATTTAGGTTTCTAAAATAGTTCTCAACAAAAAGAAAAAATGCTTTGTTAAGAGTGCAGTGGGGCTTTTTATTTGTACATGAAAGCTTTCCACTTTATTAATACATTATAATAGATAATGCTCTATAACAACCAGCTAAAATAAACACATCTCTAAGATACTGCAAGAAAATATTAAGCATTAGCCAGCGCCCTAGGGTATAATAATATGAGTGCAAAGAATGTATTTTTAAAGGAGGCATCAGAATGTACGTATTTGCAACAGTTGCATAAGTGCCACTATAGCTCATTTACATTTTAAATATGGTGACATTTACAGTAAATCTTCTTCAGGATAATTGCATTAAATATTGAATTAGCAGAAGGAAAGTACAAGCACATTGGCACTGAGCTGAAAGTTTAAAACAGAGGTATAGCCCAGGAGTGTTCAAAGTGAATGCTGAATGATACTGTCCAACGCAGGGAACTCCAGGCAGGCTGCACATGTTGTTTTACAGCAGGATGCAAATCCAAGGCTACTGACATACATTCTCAGCTGATAGATTCAGGACTTTATCATTTGTAGCAGTGAGTAATTATCCTATCAACTTTCCAGAGATTTAATAGGACGATAGGACGAGAGGAAATGTCCTCAAGTTGCACCAGGGGAGGTTTAGGTTGGACATGAGGAAAAACTTCTTTACTGAAAGAGTGGTTAAACATTGGAACAGGCTGCCCAGGGAAGTGGTTGAGTCACCATCCCTGGAGGTATTTAAAAGATGGGTAGATGAGGCGCTTAGGGACATGGTTTAGTGGGCATGGTGGTGTTGGGTTGACGGTTGGACTCGATGACCTTAGAGGTTTTTTTCCAACCTTAATGATTCTATGATTCTATGATTCTATGATTAATAAATCAAATTTCACCATCTTTCTGTTCATCATTAATACGTAAGAAATATGAAAAAAGCGTGGGGACTTCAGTCACGCATAGGTTTTGCTTGAACCTGTGCCAGACCCTCCAGCTGTGCTGTTCCCGTTGATGGGATGAACGCCCTTGTGGCCCATCTTCCCATACTTAGAGTTTTATATTAGCTGAGGTGGCATGAATTGGCTTAGGCAAATTAGACTAGCAGAGGGAGTCCCCTAGAGAAAGAAGGCTCATTTTAATTTGTTAAGGACAAAAAAGTCTGTGTTGATCAGTTTTCCTTCCCTTTAAAATCTCAGAACACTTTACAAAGTCAAATTAAAACTATTTCCAGGACACAAACATGGGCTGAGGCCATAGAGGGGTGGGGACTGATTCAGAAAAGAGTTTCATGTTCCTGGCCAGTACACATCGCTGTAGCCCTCTTTGAGTACAGAGCTTATCAGGGCTGCCCAAAGGTGGTGTTATTTGCTCCAGATGAGTTTCTGCGACCTTTTTCTGACAAAGGGTCATTGGTAAAAAGATGGCTCTCCTGATTGAAAGAGAACCTGCGTGTTATCTATGACACTCATGTGAACTACACCTGGAGGCGCTCTGCAGTCGGGACATGGGGCTACATGTCATTTTAGGAATGATACCTAGATCTTAGAAGTTAGGGATGAAAAGATAAAATAAATCTACGTAGTAATTGAAACTCAACTGAATTCTGTGTGTTGTTCATAGCTGTAGGACCAACTGAACAGTCCCCTCAGACTTATCCCCATAGGTTACGCAGGAAAGTCAGACAAGAGGACTAACAATAGAAGCCCCAAACTTCCAAAATAATTATTTTTTAAGAACTGTGTGCACATGGTGCTGCATCTTATGTAGAGGTCATAAATTGGTTCAGGACTGATACAGACAGTATCACTCTCAATGCAGGGTTTGTTTCTTCTTGTGGAGACATTTTTGCCCCATTGTCCACTGCATGCTCTATGAATAACCCAAATAACACATTTTTAGGTGTTCTTAATAATGTGTAAAGTTAAATATTGTTTCAGTACTCAACCTCAGAAAGAAAACTGGTAGAAATCCAAATTAAGCAAACATTATGCATAGAATCTAATTTTTTAAATTACTCTAATTTGATTTTGCTCTTTTTAAATATTGTGTCATTCCTTTTAATTTGTGCAGCTCTGAGATGCTTACCACAAAATTGTGAAACAATACTGCAACATATTATAGGGAAAGTCCATCTGCATTGACTCTTTCATGTCGAAAATATTTTGCATATGCTTCACAGACTTCTTGAAGAAAGTACATTTCCAAAAATAATTTTCCTCACTTACTTTTGAGAACTATGAGTTAAAAACTTCTAACGTAGTTGCAATGATATCTGTCTTAATTTGAGCTACTTAGGTCTAACTCCTGATGTTGTTCTCAATCCTCGCTTCACATTGACATTAGCGAAGTCCTGGGAAGCACAGCCAGGTGTAGTTTGGACTTCCCTGTTTACGAGCAGGCACTCTTTGATCCTGACCAGTTTTTACTGTCCTGAACTTCCTCTTTTTTGTTTCTAGGTTTAACAGGGATATTGAGTTCATGATTGGACACAAACCCAATATTTTCTGGCAGGTTACCTGGAGAGTTATCAGTCCTCTCATTATGTTAGTTATCTTCTTCTTTTATTTTGTGGTGAAAGTCAACGAAGAACTGCTCTACAGCGTTTGGGACCCTAGCTATGTAAGTATATAAGAGCAAAATATTTATTTAGAATTATTTTATGTATTCTTCTTTAATGTAAGAGTCATAGTCAGTTATATTCATCTCCCATCTGAAACAGTTTTCTGATAAAAAACTTACTACAAGACATAAAGTAATAATAAAAAGTAATGCTTAGAAAAAGAAGTCCTAAATTCAGCTGTGATGCCTGCAACCGGTATATAGTGACACCTGAGTAGCTTTTCCAAAGTGGGCAAAACCAAAACATTAGTCCAGTTGTGGGGCAAGACTGAAACAGCTGTCAGTTCCCCAGTAGGGATTATAGAAGAGCTGGAAATGTCACAACCTTTCTGTGTTGACAAAGGACCAAATTTGTGAAGCCATTTTGATATTGCACTTGTTTCCATGTGCATTTAAAATCACAGAACTGCAGTAGTGCTGGTTACTCATCACTGACAGAAGAAATTAATATTAATTAACATTAATATCCTGATTTCTTTTTTCCTTTTCCAAATGTATTGGTATGATTTAAATTATAATTGCAGCAGTGTTACCTGCTTTTCCTTTCTGCCTCTTGCAGAATAAAAAGCTCTATGTGGTACAGAGAAGGGCATATTAGAAAAAATATGGGTCCCATCATTTTCTCTGTCACCCCATCTCTTCCCTGCTTGTCTAGCTCTGCTTTTTGTTCTCTGGCCTTATACCAGTCGCCATCCTTAAAGCAGAAAGAGTCATGCAGCACAATTAATTTGTAAAGGTGAATTTTTATTTTCATAAGACAGAGACAGAAAGGGAGAGAAAAGAAGACGGGGAAACGGGACTGCTTTCTTCTCTCCTCCTTGGCAAACTCACTTCCTTCTTAATAATGTTTCAGCCCTCCCGCACCCTTTGATTTCAGCCTTCCCCACCCAAAAGCTGTTTGGCCACCAAGCCCTGGTGGCCTGTGAGCCCCACGCTCCTTTGTGCCCAGGAAGCGTGCCAGGAGCAGTCCCACCAGTCTCCCCTCCTGGCTCTTGCTTCTTTCATGCCATCTTCTTTTCATCGCTTTTAAGTAAAAATAAGTCCAAAACAGCTGAGACTGGAAACCCTTGAGCTGGAAACTGCTGTGGAATTGGCAAATTGTTGTGCCATTGTGGCTAGCTACTGTTCTGATTACATTTTTGATCTGTTGAATTATTGAATAGGTGCATGTTCCCAGGTATTTGCCCCTCATGACTTTCTACAATTTGATTGTTTGCTCTTTCAGGAGGAGTTCCCCAAAACACAGAAGGTTGAATATCCCAACTGGGTGTATGCTATTATTGTAATCCTCGCTGGAATTCCTAGTTTGACCATCCCTGTCTTTGCCATCTACAAAGCCATCAGAAATTGCTGTCAGAAAAAAAATGATCATATGGGCCTTATGACCTCCACATCTGAGAATTCTGTTAATGGAAACTTAAAGTATTCAGCATAAAACCATTTAAAAAATGTGGAAGAATGCTTTGTCAGTGAGAAAAGTAAAAATATTTTTTTTAAAGAATCCAGAGTTGATTTTATTTTCATAAAAGGATAACTATGTGTTGTTTCCAGGTAAACATTTGTTTACTTAACAATGCAATGCACTGTGAAGAGTTAATGGCTTGGATCCTGGAAGCAAAACAGCCACATTTGTAAGTGATTGGGGCACCAGGCCAAATCATTTGTCCTTCTTCTGGTTTTGAAGCCAGCTTGTTTGAAACTGGCTTGCAGTTCTCTGTTTGGGGATGCACTGCACTTGACATGCCATAAGTGACTCTTCCATGTGCAATCATTCTGGTTGGGTGGCCAATATGAAGGGTAACGTAATACTGACTTCTCTTGCACATTAAATTGTTTTTACTTTACATGCCACTGTGTTGCACAAAGCCACTAATATTATTTGTCTCATGCAGAAGTTTAAAATATTTAATAAAAACATTTCTAAGTATGAGAATGACAGTTTGATTCATTTATAGTTCTGGATATTTTATTAATTGCCTATTACTTCCAAGTTCCCAGCAGATAGTGCTGCTTTTGCTGATGACAGAAGGGGTAATCTTGCAATAGGGCAGCAGCAGTTCAGGAAATGGCAAAATCTGCCTTCTCTGGCACCCATGAGCAAGGGGTGCGCCACTTGCCTGGGAGGCCCATGCTGGTGGGGGATCCAAGGCACCCAAGTGGCGCAAAGCTTCTTGCCCTCATCTGTCACAATGAAGGTGGGCAGCTCTAGTTCATGTAGACACAGACACACGCACACGCACACCTACCTTACAACCATTTCAAGCTTCTAACTTCCATGTGACCCAGAGGAGCTCAGCCAGGGGTCCCGTTCCTTGTGTGGTCCCTGGAGGGAGAAAGGGGCATCATTAGAGCACCCAGGCTGATTGCCAGAAGCAGACGGTGTAAATGTCCCCTCTGGATGGGTGGTCCCTTTCATCCAACTGTCCCTGTACATGGGCAACATATTTGTATCACTTTGCAGCTCTTCCTATACCCACCTTTTAAGACAAGAATTGATCCAATTTACACCCTGACGCTCTCTTATAATCGAAATACTCTCTTACAAGAAATAGGGATATTTAGGGTATATCTATTCTAGAGTGTACCTTTAGAGTAGTATATCTGCTCTAAATAGAGAGTAAAGCACCAGGCATTATATGTGTATTTGAATGATTAAATTCATTTGCATTCCAATTTCAATTTTTTTTAATTATTTGAATGTGAGTAATTATTTAAACTATTTAAAGATGTTATTCTGTAATGAGAAAAACCATTTTTGTCAGATTTT